TCCAGTATTATCTGTTGGTCATGGGAGAACTGTGTGCCAAGTTTGGTTCAATTCCATCGTTGATGAGGTTCAGCATGTTATTTGATTGTAGGTGAACTACAAATCCCAGCAACTACAACTCCCAAATGACAAAATCAAATTTTTTGAGTGGGGAACATACATTGGGTTGTTAGGTGTATCGTGTCCAAATTTGGTGCCAATTGCCCCAGTGGTTTTTGAGTTCTGTGGATACCACAAACGAACATTACCGTATATTCCGGCATATAAGACGACTGCGCGTATAAGACGACCCCCAACTTTTCCAGTTAAAATATAGAGTTAAGACGACTCCCACGCATAAGACTACACCTGCGTATAAGACGACCCCTGACTTTTTAAAAGATTTTCTTGGGTTAAAAAGTAGTCTTATACGCCAGAATATACTGTACATTTTTATTTATATAGATTTATATACTGCCTTTCACAACCCGAAGGCGACTCGGGGCGGTTTACAAATGGCACAATTCGAGGCCTACAATAACAAAGAACAATTAAAACATTTAGCATAAATAACGTTTGATAAAATAAAATAAAACCGATAAAAGTATAAATCCACAGCATCTCATTACTAAAACAATTACCCAATCACATTGTCCAGTGTCTGTGGGAAACTTGGCCTTCAATATCAGAGAGTATGCAATGGAGAGCACACTTCCTTGAAGACTTTGGGAAGTGGGGATAGAAAACTCTCCTTCCACTCAAATCCCACCCAGAAGCAACAAATAGATATTCTGCTAATATTTCATAGCCTTTCGTATTTCTGTAATGAGTAAGAATTGTCTCAAAACTGCCTACACGACCTATACTAATTAATCTTCAAACTAACCTTTTAAGCTAGACACATGTAACTTCTGACATCTCATTAATTTCTCTAGGTTATTTATTTATTTATCATGTCAGGAGCACACCAGACAGTTGTATTGCATTTTTAACAAACAAACAAACAAAACACAAAGTTTGCAAGCTTGGTAGTTGATTAAATGTCCTTTGACCAGTATCTGGCCACTTGGAGTGCCTCTGGTGTTGCTGCAAGAAGGTCCTCCATTGTGCATGTGGCAGGGCTCAGGTTGCATTGCAGTAGGTGGTCTGTAGTTTGCTCTTCTCCACACTCACATGTCGTGGATTCCACTTTGTAGCCCCATTTCTTAAGGTTGGCTCTGCATCTCGTGGTGCCAGCGCGCAGCCTGTTCAGCGCCCCGTTTTCTGTGTGCCCGGAGGGAGTCACTCATTTGGTATCAGCCATTGGTTGAGGTTCTGGGTTTGAGCCTGCCACTTTTGGACTCTTGCTTGCTAGGGGTTCCAGCGAGTGTCTCTGTAGATCTTAGAAACTATTTCTTGATTTAAGTTGTTGATGTGCTGGCTGATACCCAAAGGGGATGAGCTTATTTATTTATTTATTTATTTATTTATTTCAGGCACTTCTACCCTGCCCTTCTCAACCCCCTAGCGGTGACTCAGGGAGGCTTACAACCAGCACAATTCGATGCCAACAATTCAACAAATAAAATACATAACAACAATAACCACAATAGTTAAAACATTCAGTTAATACAATAACAACTAAAAAGCCAATCTAATGGCCAACGTTCACCGAGTTCTAAAATCCGTAAGTCCATTCAGCATTGCCATAGTCCTTCCCAAAATTCTGGTCATCATTACCTTGTCAGTCTGCCAGATTACCCAAAGGCCTGGTCCCATATCCATGTTTTCAGCTTCCTTCTAAAGGAGAGGAGGGATGTTGATGACCTAATTTCCCCGGGGAATGAGTTCCACAGGCGAGGGGCCACCACTGAGAAGGCCCTGTCCCTCGTCCACTTGTGATTGAGGCGGGGCCGAGAGCAGGGCCTCCCCAGAAGATAAACTCCGAGGTGGGACATAGAAGGAGATATGTTCGGGCAGGTACACTGGGCCGGAGCCCAGCAGAGATGTCTCTGCCTTGGTCCTTTCACTATTGGCTGCTACTTCCCGGAGGATGTCAGGTGGTGCAATACCAGCTAAACAGTGTGATTTCTCCAGTGGTATAGGGCGCAGACACCCCGTGATTCTCTAGGTAAGCAGGAGAATTTCCTGGTGCCCTGTGCCTCCTTGGCAGGAGGATGGTACTGCGGGGCTTGGAAAGTTACTTTTATGAAGAACTGAGCAGAATGACACACTGAAGCTGCCCGTAATTGAGCTGAATATGTGTCTACCTTCTGCGCAGTCATGGATGGCTTCAGCACATCTGTAAATTCATCTTTCTTAAAAGTTAACTTTCTAAATTCTGAAACCATCAAGGGCATTAAGATCTTCAGGAGAGGCCCTACTCTCGGTCCCTCCACTTTCGCAGTCGTGTCTGGTGGGAACGAGAGACAGAGCCTTCTCCATGGTGGCCCCCTGGCTATGGAGCTCTCTCCCAAATGAAGTGAGGTCTACCCCCTCCCTCCTGACCTTCAGGAAGCAAGTGAAATCCTGGCTGTGGAATCAGGCATTTGCAGAGTGACGACAGAGAGCAGTAAAGACTAAAGTTATTGACCACAATGTGCGGACTGAGTTGGACGATGTTTTTAACTTGGCGAATGGTTTTATATGTAGTTTAATCTTATTGTTTTATGGATGTTGTTTCAATATTATTTATTGTTTGCATTGCATTCTTGCTGTTAGCTGTTCTAAGTCCCTCCACGGAGGTGGGAAGAATGGGATATAAAAGTTCTAAATAAATAAATAAATTCTCAATAGTTTTCAGTTTAGATATCAAAACACTTGAGTCACAATGGGACTAGTTGTACAGTAGGGTAGCCAGTCACCTTCCAGACATGTTGGACTACAATCCCTCTTTCCTTCCTCCCTACCCCCTTTGCTTTGCTTTTCCTTCTTTCTCTCCTTTCTTCCTTCTCTCCCTCTTTCTTTCCTTCCTTCCTTTGCTCTTTGCTTCCATCCCTCCTTCTCTCTTTCCTGCTTTCTTTCCCCCCCTCTTTCTTTCTCTCCTTTCTTCTCTCCCTCTTTCCTTCCTTCCCTTCTCTACCTCTTGCCTGGGCACTGGCAGGAAGGGAGCCTCGCAGCCCTCAGCCTGGCACGGGGTAGGCGGGAGGCGCTTTTTGAGGCAGGCCTCTCTCACCCAGCACCGCCCCTTCTTTTTTCTGCCATGGCTGTGGAGCGCCTTCTCGCCTGTTTGCCGGTTAGGCATACAGGCAGAGTCACATGCAGAGGCGGCCCTAGGTCTCTCTCTCTCTTGGTCCCAATGGCTGAAGAGAAAGTCAGGAGAAGAGGCGACTTTTGGTGTGCATGCTGGGGTCTGCAGACACGCCTCCGGACCTGAAGCGGGCCAGGCGCGGCGGCTCTGCCCCTGGGCCCACCCGCAGATTGGGGAGAGGAGAGGAGGCAGGTGGAGAGCCAGGAGATCGGGAAAGGGAGCCGGTCATGGGGAAGGGATCAAACTCGGAGAACGATTGAGCGCTGGCTCTGCTCGCGCACCCGGTGGCTGGGTGGAGCAGGAACGAGAGGGGCTAGGCGGGGCTCAAGGGCCTGGCCCCTTTGGGAAGAGGATCGCCCGACAGCGAGGCAAGAAAGCCGAGGCTCCCCCCGGATTGATAGTGCTGTTGTGAGCTGAGGGGGCGCTCCTCAAGTGGCTGTCGAGGGGCATTTACAGAGGTGCCTCTGCGCCCCTGGCAAAAAAAAGTGTTCTGCGACTGCTTACTTCGCGTAATGGATGAGCCGCCCCTGGTCACATGAAAGGCACCCTGTGGCTGTGGCAGAAAGAAGGGGCCACTGCTGGGTGAGCAAGGCCCATCTCAAAAAATGCCTCCCACCCCTGCTGGGCCCAGCAAGGCTGAGGGCTCCTAAGCTCCCTTCACGTCGGTGCCCAGCAGGGGCGGCTCAACTGTCTCCCTCTCCCATGTCCCCCCCTCTCTTCCTGTTTTTCTTCCAGCAACTTGCCAGGCCCTTGGCTGCCTGGTTTTCCCAGATGGCTGGGGAGCGCCAGAAGTGAGGGCTCTCTGTGGCCCTCGGGCGAGGAGCTACACCCTGGGTGCCTGCAGCATACACTGGGCCTTCACCCTGGCCTTGCTTGGCATTGCGGATGCCCTGGTCCTAGCCACGCTTGCTTTCGTGCTGGGAAACCGACAGGATGCTCTGCTACCCGAAGGCTATGCACCACCCCATGAGGGGAGAGGTAAGCTGTTTTGAGTATGCACGCATGTGTACACGCATACACTTCTTTACAATGAAAGGGACTATGTATTCTATGTATTGTCAAAGGCTTTCATGGCTAGAATCACTAAATTGTTGTAGGTTTTTTGGGCTATGTGGCCATGTTCTAGAAGCATTCTCTTCTGACGTTTTGCCTGCATTTATGGCAAGCATCCTCAGAGGTTGTGAGGTCTAGGGACTAATAAAGACTTCAGCTTAGAGCAGACGCATTAAAAGCAGGACTGGCAGCAATGTTAACCGCTGCCTAGCAACGGCCAATGAGGCACAACGGCACAGAAGGAATAAGGAGAGATGGAGGCTGCATGTAATCTGAGGCAAAGGCGAGGGAGAGGAAGGCAGCAAATATGAATAACAGCTGAGAAACAAAAATTACAATAAAAGAGAAAAAATACAGGCAATCCATGTTGGAATTCAACTCCGCACTGACTCTGGAACATATAATTTTCCTTCTTTAGAGGTCCCTTCCATATCTATACTATATCTCCCTGTGTGTGAATCATATATATCCATATCTATGACTGGATGGCTCTTTGTCAGGAAGGCTTTGATTACAGTTTCTTGCCTTGATGAAGGGAGTTGGACTGGATGGACTTAAGTATTTTCTGTTGGTTGTGGGGGTTCTGTGTGGGAAGTTTGCCCCAATTCTGTTGTTCATGGGGTTCAGAATGCTCTCTTATTGTAGGTGAACTATGAATCCCAGTACCTACAACTCCCAAATGTCAAGGTCTATTTCCCCCAAACTCCATCTGTGTTCATATTTGGGCATATGGAATATCCGTGCCAAGTTTGGTCCAGATCCATAATTATTTGAGTCCACAGTGTTCTCTGGATGTAGGTGAATTATAACTCCCAAACTCAATGTCAATGCCCACCAAACCCTTGCTGTGTTTTCTGTTGGTCATGGCAGTTCTGTGTGCTAAGTTTGGCCCAATTCCATCATTGGTGGAGTTCAGAATGCTCTTTGATTGTAAGTAAACGATAAATCCCAGCAACGACAACTCCCATACGACGAAATCAATATTTTGAGTGACGGTCACTCCTTGGGTTGTTAGGTGTCTTGTGTCCAAATTTGATATCAATTCGTCCAGTGGTTTTTGACTTATGTTAATCCCACAAACAAACATTACATTTTTATTTATATAGATGGGGCACAACACCCCAAATAAACCAGTAGTTTAGCATGTTCATTTGACTGGTCTCTTTTTTCCTCCCTTAAAGGTGTTGCCTCAGCATTGAGTCCAGACTGATTGGTGAAATCGCCTTTTCGTGGGCCTCCTTCTGAGTGGGACATTACCTTGCCAAACAAGACCCTGGTCTTGCTGTCACAATAAATATATTTTTTGTATAATAATACTAGCGTGTGTGTCATTGATAAAAGTAGTTTAATATGCTTAGAAGTGAAGTCGATATGAACTTTAGGAGGGTCTGCCCCAGAAGGAGAGACCCTGAGACCCCACCAAAGAGGGATTGCTACTTTGGCGAGCTAAGAGAAGCCTGATTTTCAGCAATTTTATTTCCTTAAAAATCCGAAAGAAATCTCACCAAAGTTGAAGAAGTGGCACTGAGGTGTTTTTATTAGCGATTCAGCTGAAAAGGATGCAATGTAGCAATCATTCACCCACAGAGCATGTGGTTACAAGGATACGGGGGCCCCTGGAGGTTTCCGTATCCGCGGTTTGGGGGAGCGCAGATTCGGCCTCCCCGGAACACCAGGAAAGCATTCCGGGCAAGCCTGCAGTCTCCCGCAGCCTGAAAAAGGTTAGTTTCATGCATTTGGATAGTTTCAGGCAAGAAAGAGACACAAAGTATCAAGCTAGAGAGTTTAAAAGTTGCAATTTGATTAATCTTTATTTGGGGATTTGTTACATAGTTGGGGCTAGCAAGGAAGTGAAAGGAGAGAGCACACAGTTGGGAAGAATCCCTGGTTGAGGCTGCTGTTGGGGCACATTTCATCAGTTTGGCCCAACTTGGCAAGCAGGAACTGTGGAACTCCCTGCTGCTGGTCAAACCAGCTTGAAGGCAGGGGTCTGGGCTGCCCTCGATGACAGTGTTTGTGTATGCCTGCAATGGGGGAAAGTATCATTTTTGTTCATCCACGCCAGAAACATCTCTAAGGCTAGATCTACACTGTCATATAACCCAGTTTCTAAATCCAGATTGCGTTGAACTGGATTATATAGCAGTGTAGACTCATATAATCCATTTCAAAGCAGTTAATCTGCATTCTGAAGCCTTAGAGACAGTGTTGGGGAAAATATATAATTCCAGGAAGACAACAACACTTGAATCTTCCAGGTAGCTCTGTATTTCATACGATGTTGGGGTAGTTTTTAAGAATATTTGTATGTAGACAGACAGACAGAGAGTTAGTACAGCTATTTTGAGAAACTGGGTTGTTGTAGGTTTTTTCGGGCTATATGGCCATGTTCTAGAGGCATTCTCTCCTGACATTTCGCCTGCATCTGTGGCAAGCATCCTCAGAGGTAGTGAGGTCTGTTGGAACTAGGAAAATGGGTTTATATATCTGTGGAATGACCAGGGTGGGACAAAGGACTCTTGTCTGTTGGAGCTAGGTGTGAATGTTTCGACTGACCACCTTGATTAGCATTTGATTTTATTTTGAGAAAGTAGATATATTAGATAATAATTATCCATGAGGTCACGAAGAGTCGGAAACGACTGAACGAATGAACAACATTACCAGGTACACAGGTTCCAATGAATCACCTGAGCAATGGTGTTATGCCTCTGCTTGTAGTCTGTCTGCGCCATCTTCTTGCAGCAGCTGAGGATGTGATCTGTTGTTTCATCTGCTTCCTTGCAGAGTCTACACTTTGGATCTGTTGTCGACTTTTCAATTCTGGCTTTGATGGCATTGGTTCTAATGGCTTTTTCAAATGGGATCTCAAAACCTGGTTTTTCTGATGCACTTTTGGAGAGTAGCCATACTATCATACACAGTTGCTCCCCCTCAACGGTTTCTGTCCCCAGAGTATATTTTCCCACCTGTATGAAGGTCTATATTTATGACCCCGTTCCTTTACAAGTTTCTCCCCCACAAACAATCTGCTCCATCCCGATCTCATCCTAATTTTAATATTTTTATTATCTTAGTTTTTATCTTGCACATGAGGCCCACTCATTGTTATGTTATTTTATTTTACTGTGTATGATTTTGCTTTATCGTCATTATACTCATATGTTGTATGTATTTTGCTGTGTTCTTATTGTGTTTTGGTTTTACTTTATTGTAATATGCTGTTGGGCTTGGCCTCATGTAAGCCGTCCCAAGTCCCCATTGGGGAGATGATGGCAGGGTATTAAATAAAGATTATTATTATTGTTGTTGTTGTTGTTGTTGTTGTTATTGTTTTTGTTGTTCTTGGGCTGCCAGAATCGTAACACATAGGGAGACAGGGAGAGAAATAGAGGTGTGTGCAAATTATGACACACTTTCTATGAACAGGCCTGTTAAAACAAACCATTTATAAAGATGACACCTGTATTTATTTATCATGTCAGGAGCAACCAGACATTTGTATTACATTTTTAACAAAAAAAACAGACAGACAGACAAAACACAAAGTTTGCAAGCTTGGTTGTTGATTAAATGTCCTTTGACCAGTATCTGGCCACTTGGAGTGCCTCTGGTGTTACTATAAGAAGGTCCTCCATTGTGCATGTGGCAGGGCTCAGGTTGCATTGCAGCAAATGGTCAGTGGTTTGCTCTTCTCCACACTCGCATGTCGTGGATTCCACTTTGTAGCCCCATTTCTTGAGGTTGGCTCTGCATCTCGTGGTGCCAGAGCGCGGTCTGTTCAGTGCCTTCCAAGTCGCCCAGTCTTCTGTCTGCCCAGAGAGGGAGTCTCTCTTTTGGTATCAGCCATTGATTGAGGTTCTGGGTTTAAGCCTGCCACTTTTGGACTCTTGCTTGCTGGGGTGTTCCGGCGAGTGTCTCTGTAGATCTGAGAAAACTATTTCTTGATTTAAGTCGTTGACATGCTTGTTGATCTCCAAACAGAGGATGAGCGGGAGATGTCACTGCCTTGGTCCTTTCACTATTGGCTGCTATTTCCCGGCAGATGTCAGGTGGTGCAATGCCGGCTAAACAGTGTAATTTCTCCAATGGTGTAGGGCGCAGACACCCCGTGATAATGCGGCATGTCTCATTATGACTCCGTACCCGAAAATTTCCATCAGTGCCTTGAGGCCGTTACTGGATGGTTGCGTGCCAGCAGGTTGAGGGTGAACTCAGCGAAGACTGAGATCCTTTGGCTGGGCCGTCCGGGTGGGAGGGAGATCCAGCTGCCTACCCTGGATGGCGAGACACTACGTCCGTCACCTTCTGTAAAAAGCCTTGGTGTCTTATTGGACCCTCTGCTCACAATGGAGGCCCAGGTCTCTGCTGTGAGCAGATCTACGTTTTTCCACCTACGTCAGGCTAGGCAACTGGCTCCCTTCCTATCTAGGAACGACCTGGCTACGGTGATCCAGGCGACGGTTATCTCGAGGCTTGACTACTGTAATGCCCTCTACATTGGCCTTCCTTTGTCAGTGATCCGGAAACTGAAGCTGTTGCAAAATGTGGCAGCTCGTCTTCTCGCTGGGGTGCCGGCGAGGTGTCGTATCACCCCAATTCTACAACAGCTGCACTGGCTCCGATTGAGTACCGGATTACTTTCAAGGTGCTGGTACTAACCTTTAAGGCCTTATATGGTCTGGGGCCGGCGTACCTGAGGGCCCGCTTATCCCCCTACCAACCCCAGAGATTACTTCGGTCCGAAGACCAAAATTTGCTTGAGGTTCCCAATATCCGGACTGATCATCTGTCCTCTACTAGGCCTTCTCGATTGTGGCCCCTTATTTATGGAATGTCTTGCCAGTTGAAACCCGAACCATCCGAGAGCTACTTGCTTTTCGGAAAGCCTGTAAAACCTTTCTTTTCGAACAAGCTTTCGATGGGTGAATAACTCGGACTATGTCTGTTCTCATTTTTATTGTATTTTAAAGTTGGTTGTATTGTTTTTAATCTACTGCTGTAAACCGCTCCGAGCCAAATTGGGAGTGGCGGTATACAAGTCAAATAAATAAATAAATAAGAGCCACATCCACTGTTTTAGCATGGTGAGATGTGTTCCACACTGGGCATGCATACTCAGCAGCAGAGTAGCAAAGCGCAAGGGCAGATGTCTTCACTGTATCTGGTTGTGATCCCCAGGTTGTGCCAGTCAGCTTTCGTATATTGTTTCTAGCACCCACTTTTTGCTTGATATTCAAGCAGTGCTTCTTGTAGGTCAGAGCACGGTCCAGAGTGACTCCCAGATATTTGGGTGCGCTGCAATGCTCCAGTGGGATTCCTTAAAACAAAAATGTATGTATGTATAATGTATTGTCGAAGGCTTTCATGGCTGGAATCACTAGGTTCTTGTGGGTTTTTTTGGGCTATATGGCCATGTTCTAGAGGCATTCTCCTGACGTTTCGCCTGCATCTATGGCAAGCATCCTCAGAGGTAGTGAGGTCTGTTGGAAGTAGGAAAATGGGTTTATATATCTGTGGAATGGCTGGGGTGGGGCAAGGAGCTCTTCCCTGCTGCAGTTAGGTGTGAATGTTTACCTGATCACCTTCATTAGCATTTGAAGGCCTGCCTGAGCCTGGGAAAATCTGTTGCTGAGAGGTGTTAATCTGTGCCTGGTTTTTTCCTCTTCTGGCTGATGTTGATATGGAGGTGCAGCAATTCCTTGTCTGTGTTTGCGAGTTCTTTGCGGATGGTGTGAATTCTCTCTCGTAAGAGGTTGTGTTCTAGGCGGTCATAGATCCGATGAGCCTGTGGTGTTTTGAAAGTCCTTTTGGCTGCGAGAAATTGTGAGAAATTTCTACCGTATACCATGCAGCTTGCAAGTTGTTCTTGCAACAACAGAGAGGAAAAAACCAGGCACAGATTAACACCTCCCAGCAACAGATTTTCCCAGGCTCAGGCAAGCCTTCAAATGCTAATGAAGGTGATCAGCTAAACATTCACACCTAACTGCAGCAGGGAAGAGCTCCTTGCCCCACCCCAGCCATTCCACAGATATATAAACCCATTTTTCCTACTTCCAACAGACCTCACATCTCTGAGGATGCTTGCCATAGATGCAGGCGAAACGTCAGGAGAAATGCCTCTAGAACATGGCTCTATAGCCCGAAAAAACCCACAAGAACCTTATGTATGTATATCTTATAAGGCTCTCAAGAAAGTAATCTAAA